CCATTTTCATACTTTGTTATCTTTGAATTAGGTCAAGCTATTTGTTATTTGATTTTCATACAAACCCCTAAGTCTATCATGGCATATTTAGAAAGCTTTTAAATGCGAAAATAAAAATCCTAAATTATTACAACACAATTATGGGATGGGGGGTACAAATGTTCAAATGGGGATATTTAGCAAGAAATTAAAATCTAAGCTATTACATCCAAATTGAATATACAAGTTAATTAATTATACAATAATCGAATAAAAATACAATAAATATGCAAGATGCAAAAAATGATTTTTATATGTATGTAAAAGTATTTTTCATGTGACAAAATAAACAAAAATAAAAAGGATTAATTTTTGGGTATTTTTCATGTTTAGGGCAAAACCCTAATTTTGTAAATAAAAGGTATTTATTATTTATTATATGCAATATTTATTAATTATATACAAAAAATAAATAAAAGAGAAGTATATTGTAAAAAAGTGATTTTTGAGGTCAAATATTAATAAAAATAAAAATGTATTATTTTTATGTTTTTTATCCTAAATATTCTAAATATATAAGTATTTATATTATTTACTAAATATATTAAATATGTACAAAAATAAAAATATTTATTAATTACAAAAAAGTATATTTTTTATAAAATGTTTTCAAAAGATAAAACAAAATAAGAATCAGAAAATAAAATGTATTTGTATTATTTTTAGTATTTAAATAAAAAGGTATATATATATATATATATATATATATATATATATATATATATATATATATATATATATATATATATATATATATATATATATATATATATATATATATATATATATATATATATATATATATATATATATATATATATATATATATATATATATATATATATATATATATATATATATATATATATATATATATATATATATATATATATATATATATATATATATATATATATATATATATATATATATATATATATATATATATATATATATATATATATATATATATATATATATATATATATATATATATATATATATATATATATATATATATATATAATATATATATATATATATATATATATATATATATATATATTATATATATATATATATATATATATATATATATATATATATATATATATATATATATATATATATATCAAGTAAAACAAATAAATGCCTAATAAATACAAAAAAAGGTGAAACAAATATTTTTTATGTTTTTTATATTTTAACAAAAAATAATAAATCAGAATAAAAAAGAAAAAGTCAAAAATGACAAATATATCATGCAATGGGCCAGGGGGGTGCAAATTGAAAAAAGGGGTGCAAAAAGCAGGTTGACTCAGGCCCAGCCCAAGTCAACTCTGTCTTCAACCTCTAGACAGATTCAAACAAAAAACACGCGCCCTTCCTCCATCTCTGCAATCTCTTGATTTCTTGACTTTTAACAAAAACTCACAACACAAACATTATAGAGCATCATGTCACGAGTTCATACATATAAAAAACTTGATCTAACTCTCAGAAATGAGAGAGAATTTCTTCTCCCCCAATTTCTGACCTAAGTTTTTTCCAATGTTCAGGTTCAAAATACTCTTAGCACACACAATATAAATGAAAAGTAACTATATGGATGGCTTCAGGGCTATGATTAGAACATGCTTTCTTCACAAACTTAAGCCTAACTATGCCTGGATAGAGAGATAGAAGTTCAAAGTTTTTACCTGTTTAGCTTGAGTCGTGTACAGCAATGGAGGCACTTTCAATGCAGTGTGAGGACTTGTACAGCTTGCTTGAGGTCCAAGAATGCTCTTCCAACCTCTAGCTTGCTTGGAAACTAGCTGAATCGAGCTATGGAAGTTCACTTGCAAAGTTGAAAACTGAAAATGGCAAATGATGTTAGGGATGTCACAGTTTGTGTTCAATGCTTGGGATAGCTTCAGTGGGTGATATGGAACATGTTTGAACTAGCTTTGGCCAAAACGCACGAGTGGAAGTGTTTGTGGAAGTCAAGTTGCAGAAGGGACTCTATTTTTGCAACAAGAAGGTGTTTCTGTGAATGAGGAGGTATTGAAGGTGGTTTGCTCGTGTTTCAGGTCAGGTTTGATGTTTGGAATGTGCTCAAGAAGTTTGCTTAGGCTTGTTGTTACAGGAATGTGAGATGTGATTCAAAATGCAAGTTTCTTTTATCTTAAGCAAAAGTTGCCAAGTTAGGTTGTAGGCCAAGGCAGGTCCCTCAAGCATGCTGCATAATCTCTCCTTGATTAGTGGTATTAGTCCATAAACTTGTGTCCAAGAGATATGCTTTGTACTTCTTTGATTTGTGTTTTGACATAAAGCCATGCTTTTCCAAAATGGCAAACTTGCTTTTTCCAAATATGGCTTAATTTTGTGTGTATTGCCCAAATGAATGAAATAACATCTTGGCACAATGGTTATGCATTGAATTATTGAGTAAGAAAGGGATTAGAGGCCTGTAACCTAGCTTGTGCATGCTGAGTTTGAAAATGCATAGTGTATGAACATGGAATTGGCTCATGAACAAAGTGACTTTTGCCCATATTGACAAATTCGATTCTCCCTAACCACAAGGGTGTTTGAGAAGTTCTTGGACAATTTGGAAATCTTGGAATGTGTACTACAATCCATCTTTGTAATGCAAGTTGAAATTCCAAGTGGAAGCATGTGAAAAGTGGCCATGAAGTTAGGCAAAAATCCTGCCTAAAATAGGTCAAAAAAATTTCTAATTTAAGAATGTTTTGCACCCTTGTTCCAAAAATCATAACTTGAGCTACAAGCTTCTTTTGAGGAAACTTTGTGAATCAAAGTTGTAGATTTTGAAATGTACTATAACTTTCATGTTTTGAGTTTTGTTTGAATTCAAATGTATCTTGATGAAAAAATGGGACAAAGTTAGGAAAAAATAAGGAAGTTTCATAACTTAGAAAAATTCTAAGTTATGAAATTTTCTCATTCTAAACCCTAATTTGCAATTTTTGGTTTCTTGATGAACAAGTTTCATAATTTGACATGTCTTGATGAAAAATGAATCTTGACACTTGATTTTGACCAAAAAGTCAAAATTTGACTTTTCAGTACACAGTCAAATCTTGATCAGTTGACTGGAAAATTCATCTGTCAATCTTGTGCATTTGGGATCTTTTGAACTTGTTGAATGTGTCAAGACCATGTCATTGAGTCCTTGAGTCCATATGTGAGCTTGGTTTGCCATTGGCTAGGTCAAACAGTCAAAAATTGCCTTTGTGCAGTCAAAACCCTAAAAATGACCATTTTACCCTTTTGGTGATCTGATCAAATTTCTTGTGGAATTGTGATCCAAACTTGACCAAATGGCTCATATGAATTCATAATGTTGATGTGGGTCAAAAAATCATGAGGTTTGACTGTCAATTGACCACAGTTGACTTTTTCCCCAATACAGCTGATTTCTAGGTCAACTGTCCAATTGACTGGGCAAAGATTGGAATCAAGACTAGAAACTTGGTATGGATAAACTTGTGAGTCCAACATGAAGCATGAAAGTTACTTTGGGTATTTTAGGTCAAAACATCTTTGTGCAAACTCAAACCCTAATTTGGGTCAATAGTGCAAGGAGGAGTCTTGAGCAGAGCAAACCCTAACTTGATCTTGAGCTCCAAGGGTCTTGTGGTGAGGAAATGTTGAGGAAATGGGAGGGAAAATTTTGGGGTACAACAACATCTATTATGTCAATCACGATAGAAGAATCTACGTTAAGCTCCACCTTCTGATAACTTAACTCCTTGGCTAAAAACATCCCTTAAAAACTCTTCACATCTCTGCCTTTGTAGCACTACAGACACCAATATATTTGTAGAAACCTCCTTTGCACTCCCATTTGTAATCCTGGAAAATGCCGCCACAACCCCCTATCCTTCCTTCCTGATAGAGCCATATATGTTACACCTTTACCCAACCCCTTTTCAAGGGAATCCATTTCACCAGAACTGATTGACTAATACGGTTCACCACTAACATATTATTTTGTATGGCTTTCGTATACTCATCTCTTCTTCGATGGACATGTGAACTTTGACAAGGCGGTCTAGCAAAATTGATGTCATGCACTTCCTTATTCCTCCATGCCTAGTTACTTTGACACCCTATAACCCAATAGCTACTCCACTTGTGATTGGAGTCTAGATTGAGATCGACCCAATCTTGCAAATCAAACGTAAAGAAATATGTTATGAGAACACCAGGCACTTGATTTAACCACACATTCTTCATTCTGGAGTAGTCTCGTAATGTGTGCAAAAGACATTCAAAAACACCTCCACAAAGCTTGCAATCAGCCCCTTCAAACCCTTTGATGGCTTTGTTGTAATTGGTTAACACACGATCATGACACATTAACCAAATGAAATAGCAAACCCTTTTTTTGCACCCACAACTTCCATATCATCTCCCATTAAGCTCTAATAACAAGAATTACTTATTAATATAATAAGTTTGAAATGTTAATTTATTACAAGGAAATCAATAAGTTAGAAATTATCCTTAAATTATCAATATATAAGTCTACGTTAACAAAATTATACATGTTGATTATATCATTGCTATTTATATTTATTAATTTTTTTTCATTCTCCCTTCATAAAATTTATTTTTTATTTATTGATTTATGTAAAATAATAAAAGCGTTTTTGGTAAAAAGAAAGTAATTATTGTAGTTAAAAATTTGATGAGTATCCTTGAACAATAACTTTTTTTAAATAAATTTTGTATTTAAGTATGACGGTAGATAATACCATACATGTCCTATAGTTATTGTGAAAAAAATAAAGAAGAAGAAAAATATAGTCCTTTAATTATAGTGAATAGTTTATATTATTGATCTTAAGATAAGCAATCCTTCATATTTGAAACTAACATCCCACACTTATATATGTTGATAAATTCATTATACAACTTCTACTTTAGTGTTAGTTTAGATAATATATAGTTTACAACACAATCCACATGAAGACTGTGCACCAAAACGTAAGCAGAATTGGAGCTGATGAATAAGTTGCAAACATAATAAGTGAGCATTCACTTTGACCAACTCCAAGCAATTGAGTCATTGTACCTAACACATTGATAAAGTTAAGTATCTTTCCAACATTCAATGACAAAATTGATAATATTATTTAGAGCATATTTGATTTTATAAAATTGATTCTGGTTAAACAACTTACTCGCAGATACTGCAGGAGGAACGGCGTAGTGAAGTAGTAAAACAAATTGATATAATGGATCAGAGCTTATGAAGTTGAAATGAACTGCACCTTTCACAATGCATATACCTATTGTTGGTAATGCAACATATATGACCACAATAATGCCTACGACAAGTGGAATCTTCTTTCCTAATCCCTTTAAACCTGAAATGTATTATTTCATTGAACTAGTTAAATATATAGAGAAGAAATGAAATACAATGTTAAAAAAATCATGAAATTGATAATTGATTAGTTACCCTTTAAAAGATTTGCACCAACTAACAAGACCATTGATGGAATGCATGCATCCCTAAAAACCAAGAAAATATATTAAAATAACTATATATTTTGATATAAAGACTAAACTCCAATGTAATAGTATAGTAGAGGATTATCACCCCAACATAATCGTAGAGGTTTGAACAAAACAAAGAGGAGCACTTGCACCAACTACTACTTTTCTTAATGGAGGAACTATACCGACTATTACTCCAAACATCTGCATTATTATTCTCAAACCAAGATAGATAATATTATCTCTCTTTAAATTATGAGTAAATTAATTGATTAGTAAAATGATTAGAAAAGTACTTAAAAAGATAAAATAATTATGGACATATACCGCTCCCCATAATGCTGGTGCAAATAGTTCTTTTAAATTGATCTTGTCACTTATTAATATTGTTACTGCCTTCATATTCTTCAATTTTTCTTGTGCCTGTGAAACCATTCAAAATATTAAACATCATCTCTATTAGTATACGAAAGAATGTCATGTGCACTCAATTCATATTATCATTTTAAGAGTATATTAGAAAACATACCAACCTTTTCTTCTCCGTCAATCACTTTACATTCTATTTCAAGTTGATCCATGTAACCATTAGATATTGATTTTTCTTCAATCGGTGTCAATGTTCTTGTGGAACATTTTGCAATGTTTTCTAGATTCTTAATTTCTTTATTTATTTTGGAATTATTAAATTTGATAATATTGGTCCTAGGTGAATATATGCGAAGAATGTTGTACACAATAGACCAAGCATAAATGTGTCCTACCTGTAAATTAAGAAACATTAAAAATAAAAGTTTCTTATTTTAAATACTTTATAAATATAAATTGTGTTATACCTATATAGTTTTAAATTTTAAATAATTTAAGTCAAGTGTGACATACTGCCATTGTTAGGGAAGTAAATGCTAATCCTTTACGATAGCAAGCATCAACATCTCCAAAAGGGTGACTTCTTCCTTTACAAATTGCTGGAACTATGATCAGAGGCAACGATCCAAGATTTCCTGCATACATCAATTGTTAAAAGATCAATGACATGATATAGAATTGGCTTGATTAATGAAATGAGTTTATTTTTATTTTATTTTCAATTTAGATAACTTTTTAAAGTGATTGATATCTTTTTCAAAAAATAAATATTTATACATGTTACATGATATCATTAAAAGAAAAATAATATGAATGTGTACATAAACCTGCCTGCAGCACAACACCCCATTACAAGGCCATGAAGATGACGAGGAACTCTTGTTATTTTAGCAAGAATCCATGCAAGAGTTGTCCCAATAATATATCTTAGAAGAATATTTAATGGCATGAACCACCTACATAATTCATTAATACATGTGAGTGAATTAAGCATCTCTTCTAGATTACAAAACCAATTAACTAAAAATAATGTATACCTAGATTTAAATTTAATTTAATTTACTTGTTATTTTTTTAATAAAGTTGTCTCATTTTATTAGAGGGTAATTTAGTATTTGTCATTTGTTGGATATTCTCATTAGGCCCTATGTGGCATTCTTATCTTTACTATTTTTATGTATAAATAAGTGTACTAGGTTTATATTTAATACAATTATTTCCTTCAATCATTAGTGGCAGATTTTAGCATTTATTCCTTTTCTCTCTTCTTCCTCAATTTCATCACCTTGCACTAACAAATTGGTATTTAGAGCTCTTGGTTTGTTCTGAAATTCTGGGAAACACGAGTGATAGTGAGTTGTGTGTTTGATTTTTGAATCTTGAACAAAAATCTGAAACAAAATCACACTGATTATGTGGGTTTGGGAAACACTGAGTGAGAAATCTGAGATCTGAATTTTTGTGCAAGATTTAAGATGAATGGAGGCAGTAGTTTGAACACTAAACTTCCAGTTTTTGATGGCAAAAACTGGAACAGATGGAAGATACAAATGCGTGTGTTGTTTGGTGCTCAGGATGTTCTGGACCTTGTTTCTGAAGGTTATGTTCCAGTTGTAGCAGATGCTACTGAAGAACAAAAATCAGAAGAAAGAGCTACGAGGAAGAGGGATCAGAAAGCTCTGTTCTTTATCCATCAGTGTGTGGATGAAAATGTGTTTGAGAAGATTGTTGATTCGACGAAATCGAAAGGGGCATGGGATATACTGACCAGATGTTATAGTGGTGACGTGTCAATAAAGAAGGTAAAGCTTCAGTCCCTGTGAAAACAATATGAAAATCTCAGCATGAAGAACAATGAGAAAGTTTCTGAGTACATCTCCAGAATGATTCTGATCACTAATGAGATGAAGGCTTGTGGAGAAACACTTTCTGAACAGGTAATCATAGAAAAGATTCTGAGGTCACTTACTCCTCAGTTTGATTACATTGTTGTTTCTATTGAACATTCTAAAAATCTGGAAACCATGAGTATAGAAGAGTTGCAAAGCAGTCTAGAAGCGCAAGAGTTGCGTCTGACTGAAAGAACTTCTGAGAGGGAAGTGGAGCAAGCTCTGAAAGCTTCTTTTGTCAAGAAGGACCAGAAGAAGAATAGACATGGTGATAAATTCCAGAAGTCAAACCTCAACTTTTGATGAAAAGAAATATCATAAGGGAAAGGAAAGGCATGACAAGAAGAAGGTTCAATGTTACTGTTGTAAACAGTTTGGTCATTTTGCCAGAGACTGTAGAAATAGAGGAAGGAAATCAGAAGAAGCAAATATAGCAAGAGGAGATTCTAATGATGAACCTGTGCTACTGATGGCTTCTGATTCTGATGGAAACTGTTCAGAAGATTGGTGGTATATGGACACTGGCTGTTCAAACCACTTAACTGGGAATAAACAATGGCTGATAAACTTTGACTCCAGAAGGAGAACAAAGATCAGATGTGCTGATGATAAGTACCTTAATGCAGAAGGTATGGGAAATGTTAGAGTCAGAGTGAAGAATGGAAAAAACATTCTGATCAAAGATGTTTGGTATGTTCCTGGAATTAAAAGCAATCTGATGAGTGTAGGTCAGCTTATTGAAAAAGGTTTTTCAGTGGCTATGAAGGACAACCTCTTGACGTTGTATGATTCTAATCAGAAGTTGATTATGAAGTCTGGGCAGGGAAGTAACAAAATATTCAAGGTGAATGTAGAAACTTTTGAAGCGGAGTGTCTTAGTGCAGAAGGAGCTGAAGCTGACAGTAAGCTGTGGCACAAGAGGTTGGGGCACTTGAACTATAGAATCTTAGGGCATCTAAGTTCTAAGAAGCTCGTACATGGCATTTCGAAGATTGTGAAGCCTCAGAATTCATGTGAGATATGCATGAAAGGCAAGCAACCCAGGTTGTCATTTGCATCAAAAGTAGCCCCCCAGAGCAAAGCATGCTCTAGGAGTAGTACATTCTGATGTGTGTGGACCATTTCCAGTACCTTCACTTGGAGGAAACAAATATTGTGTGTCTTTTGTGGATGAGTTCACAATAATGACATGGGTAACACTCATCAAGTTCAAGCATGAAGTATTTACTGAGTTCCAGAAGTTCAAGGTGAAGGCTGAGAAGCAGAGTGGTCAGAAGCTGAAGATTCTGAGAACAGATGGTGGAAGTGAGTATAACTCTACAGAGTTCCATAAGTTCTGTGAGGAGAATGGAATAGAACATGAGGTTACTGCTCCATATACTCCTCAGCACAACGGTCTTGCTGAAAGAAGAAACGGAACTTTGCTTGATATGACCAGAAGTATGCTGAAAGAGAAGAAGTTACCTCACATATTATGGGGAGAAGCTGTTGCCACATCAGCATATGTTCTGAATAGGTGTCCAACAAAGAAGCTGAAGGAAATTGTTCCTTTAGAAAAATGGACTGGAGACAAGAAAAGTGTTAGCCATCTGAAGGTGTTTGGTTCTGTATGCTACAAACACGTTCCAGAGGCTAGAAGACGAAAACTGGATGATAGAAGCAAAACAATGTTACTGGTGGGGTACCACACTACAGGTGCCTATAAGCTTTATTATCCAGAAACCCACAAAGTTGAAATCAGCAGAGACGTCACTGTGAAAGAGTCAGAAACATGGGATTAGAACAAGCTTCAATTAGATTCTGGTGTAGCGCCAACACCAGGGTTAGTTTCTGAAGATTCTTCAGAAATTTCAGAAGATGAAGGCTCTGAAGATGAGTCAGAATCTCAGGGAGATTCTGATAGTGGATCTGATTCTGATCCAGGTTCTAATGATGATCCAGAATCTGGTGGTGATTATACTTCTGGAAGGGAAAACTCTGAAGACATGGGGTATGAAGAACAAGTTTCCAGAAGTAACTCTGAAGGTGGTAATTCTGAAGGAAATAATTCTGGACAAAGTCCAGAAACTAGCATTGTTCCGAGTTCTGGAGAAGCTTCAGAACAAGATCAGAGGCCACAGAGAATCAGACGAATACCAAGTAGGTTTGCAGATTTTAGCATGTTGCATGATACTGAAGTAGATTCTGAAGGAGAAATCGTTCAGTGTACCATGCTAGTAGATTCTGAACCAGTGGGTATTGAGGAAGCTCTCAAGAAGAAAGTATGGTTGAATGCCATGAAAGAAGAACTTGAGGCTATTGAAAGAAACAAGACTTGGAAGCTGACAGAACTTCCAAAAGGCAAGAAAGCCATCAGCGTCAGATGGGTTTTCAAGAAGAAGCTAAAGCCAGATGGATCAATTGGCAAACACAAAGCGAGACTAGTGGCTAGAGGTTTTCTTCAGAAACCTGGACTAGATTACTTTGAGGTGTTTGCGCCTGTAGCTAGACACAAAACAATCAGACTGGTGATTGCTTTAGCTGCAAACAGAAATTGGCCTTTGATACATCTGAATGTGAAGTCTGCATTTCTGAACGGTCCATTACAGGAAGAAGTTTATGTGTCACAACCTCCTGGATATGTGAAAAAGAATCAGGAAGGGATGGTATACAGGTTAAATAAAGCTCTGTATGGACTGAAGCAAGCGCTCAGAGCTTGGAATTTGAAGATTGATTCGTTTTTCAAGGAACAAGGGTTTCAGAAGTGTGAGATGGAGTATGGTGTTTATGTTCAACACACTTCAAAAGGTAATATGATTTTGGTCTGTTTGTATGTTGATGACATATTACTCACAAGAAGTTTTGAACAAGAAACAGCCGAGTTCAAGAAAGTTCTGATGAATCTGTTTGAGATGACAGATCTTGGAAAAATGAGTTTCTTTATAGGGATGGAATTTATATACTCTGAGAAAGGAATCATTTTACATCAGAAGAAGTATGAACTAGAGCTTCTGAAGAGATTTGAGCTAGCAAATTGCAAGGTTGCTATCACACCTGCTGATACGAATCAGAAGTTGGACTCTGATTCTGATGGAGAGGATGTGGATGCTACAACCTTCAAACAGATGGTTGGTTCTCTGAGGTATTTGTGTAATACCAGACCTGATATTTGCTATGCAGTTGGAATGGTAAGCAGATACATGAGCAAACCAAAGTGGTCTCATTATCGAGTTGCTGTCAGGATTCTGAGATATGTAATAGGAACTCTGAAGTATGGAGTGTTATTTCCTTCTGGAGGAAAGATCAAATTAGAACTTCTGAGTTATTCTGATTCTGATTGGTGTGGAGATAGAGTTGACAGAAGAAGTACTTCTGGGTACTTGTTCAAGTTTCTGGGAGGTCCAATTTCTTGGAGTTCCAAGAAACAGCCTATTGTGGCTTTGTCAACATGTGAAGCTGAATACATTGCAGGTGCTGTAGCTGCTTGTCAAGCAGTTTGGCTTCTGAATCTACTGCATGATCTGAAGGTTGAAGTTGAGGAACCTCTGAAGCTGATGATTGATAATAAGTATGCAATTAATCTTGCAAAGAATTCAGTGCTACATGGAAGAAGCAAGCACATTGAGACAAAGTATCACTTTCTCAGAAGTCAAGTGCAGAAAGGAGTGTTAGAAGTTCTGCACAGTAGCACTCAGAAGCAGCTGGCAGATGTTCTGACAAAGGCGATAAAAATAGACCAATTTCTTCGCTTGAGAGATGAAATTGGTGTTGTTAACTTCTGATAAATTACTAAATTACGGGATGGTATTAGAGGGTAATTTAGTATGTGTCATTTGTTGGATATTCTCATTAGGCCCTATGTGGCATTCTTATCTTTACTATTTTTGTGTATAAATAGGTGTACTAGGTTTACATTTAATACAATTATTTCATTCAATCATTAGTGGTAGCTTTTAGCATTTATTCCTTTTCTCTCTTCTTCCTCAATTTCATCACCTTGCTGTTGTACCCTAAATTTTGCCCCTAACTTTTTTCAGTCGCACTTTCATACCATATTTTATCATTCAGTCACAATCATTAATAAATAG